CAGGTGAGCCTCGGGGAAAGAGGAACGCGGTGACAGAACAGGGAGAGGAGGTGGAGGCAGAGAACAGAGGGATGTAAGCATGTTTTTTTTTCTAAATTACACAAGAGGAGGGGATGGAGATCTAAGGGCTGGGAGACAGAGGAACTGCTGCTAGAATGCAGCTCAATACGGATCTTTGTGGTGCTGCCTGAAGAGAGATTACAGAGCTGCATCTCCACGAGCTGCTGTGGGTGTGAGAAACCAAAATGAAGTCCAACAAACATACAGACGGGATTTTCCATTCCTCGGTTTATTGACAGCTTTCTGATTCACCTCCTCTCACTGCGTCTAATTTGGGCTATATTTGACAATGTATTATAACCGAGCCAACGCTTATAATGTGTGTGTCATAGTGGCTATCAATCACTGGCAATAATTCGGGTACTATTCTTGTTAACTCCCACTCTGCATCTATCAATCAAAGGCACAGCGAGATGTCCGCTTCTTAGAAAGGGGTTAATGCAAATTAAGGTTGAATTATCGTTGCTCAAAGGCCACATTGACATTACTCCGTAAAGAAGGGGGTCAACAATGTATTCTCATATACGGACGCTTTGTCAGGACCCGTTTACGCAATGTTGTAAACACATGGTTAACGTTGTGAAATCAAACAAAATGACTGGGTTAGAGTTATGCAACAAACTCCTTGGCTAGGTTTGGAAAAAATCATGGTTTCTGTTTAAAATGTGTAAATTGTTGCGTAACGTACCCTAAAACAGGTTGGTATCTCAATGTTCACTAACTCCATGCTCCTGGGCGCTCTTGTTCTGTTTTGTTTTTACCCACCCTGACCTCCACCTTCAGACTTTGGTGCTCTCTACTCTAAGGCACCTTACTTCCACCTTTGCTCCCAACATAATAACTAAGGCTGCTAGAGGTGTGTGATGTATTATATCTGTAATGGTGATCAAACATGTGAAAAGGTCATAACGGTCTTATGAACCTACTAGTCGGCTTAGCAGGCCACCTCTAACCCATATCTATAATTCTTATAACAACTGATAACAACTATCCATTGGGCTGATAACATCAGAAAGGGGAAACACATTGACAAAACTCAAGAACTGGGATCAACATCTGGTCTGTAAACCAGTAACAGTCTGTCCTGTGGAAGGCAGAGAACCTGAGAGTATGCTGCAGTCAAGACTCAATCCCACCCCAGCTTTGCCTTGCTGCCTCGCATTGCCAAAGCCGAACAATGTCATCTTACCACACCTCATCGGCCCCGGAGGCGAGCTTACTTGAGCTCAAGAGTCAATCTCTCTATAATCACCCAGTTACAGAGAAACAAAGAGGGGAGAGAGGTGGAGGTGGGGGGACAGAGACAGAACGAGGCAATCCAGCCGAGGAGAAGTAGCTTGCTTCAGTATTTATAGACTGATATCCCACATCGTGTACCAGCAGTCCGAAGTGCAAAAGGTAACAAAGCAAAAAAAACGTTGGGGCAAAAAAAAGAAACATCCCAGATAACAAATTATTTACTGAGGTGGCCAAAAAGAGCAACACATTTCAGAAAATGCATGTATACATATTAAGGGCACCTGTTTTCTCAAGGAACATACTTAACCAATGAATCCAAGCTTTTATTTCTTATCAGTTTCACCCGAGTGGACCTCTAAACAGGGCAGAAGGATTACAGCATCTCAGGAAAGTCCGTACTAGAAAAGAGTCTTCAATTTTAGAGGTGTACAAAGCATACATCACTTAAACTGCAGACTATCCCCTCTGCTTCAAGCCAAAACACCCTGCGGACCTCCATTACTGCACCTATCTAAAAGTACTTTGGCACATCTTGTTGGGATTCCTGTCAAACAGCTTGTTTGGAAGAATGACGCTTGTATTTCTCTCTCAGCACAAACAAAGGCACAAAGTTTTTTTTCATGCGAACATATCCGTTCTCTTTGCTGAATCAATAATCAAAGCCTTGTTTCCTCTCTGTTTCGCTGTCAGTCCTTGCAATCTTGCAGTGCAAGCCTGAATTTATGAATATTAATGGTTGATTATCATTTATCTTTGTGCGAAAAAAACACATACAATGCTGCGGTGGATAAAAGTGTTGGACAATGGGATGAGGGATCAGTCAATTTACCAGATCTGCGCAACAATTCGTCAGAGCGGGACGCATCATTATCAATCCTCACACACCATATGCTTAATGATTGTCGGGTAAATAAGGGAGTCTAGAAAAGTTACGTCTGAGGCTGTTAGATATTCAAGCCATCAATCTGCCACGCATTACAAAGGGAAGAATTCTGACTTCTCTTTGATGCAAACACAGCAATTTGTTCTGTGTTTGTCTGTTTGTTCTGAGGCGATGTTTTGCTTTTAATGGCCTGGTGTAAATGAGCTGCCTCTTTGTATGTCTGGATAATTGAAATATCTTTGATTGAAGAGGCAAAATGGTGGGAAAACATGGCATTAGGGTTTGTATAGGCCTCATACAAAAACAAAGCAAGGTCTTCAACAACCTTAAACACTTAGGGACTCTCCTTTACTTTAAAAACCAGGCTATACTTTTCCATTATGGCTGTGGAATGGTAAAGCGAGAGCTGCTTTACCTAAAAGTACCCTCTGTTGCCTTCCAATAGCCTACATGAGGGTCTCTACTTGTTGAAGAGCTATCTCCCACTCGTCGCCAACAACGAGCAAACACGTGTCCCCAAGCCCCCCCCCCCTTCCGTGTGAGCAATATATTCAAGCCCATCTACCTTCGCACTCCATTTGCCCGTTTCTATTCTTAATGACGCGTTATTTCTGAAGCGTCCCTGGCTCGTGATGAGTAATCCTTCAAATCCCTTCCAACACAGTGTTCCTTTTTAAAGCCACATCCGAGCAACAAGCTTTCACAGCTGTCTCTCCTGCTTCACTTTAACAGGTAGCGCATGTCTGCTCCGCGGGACTGGCGGGGGCTGACGAAAACACGGCGCTCAGTGAATCACAATGTCAGGAAAACGGCGCGCTGGAGAAGAACAGCGAAAGGGAAGGGTGCTGTCACGCCTTGTGGCCGTCCTTCTCACTCTTCCACACGTCCGCCTCCTCTAAACCCTCCTCCCTCGACTTCCCTGCGTTTATGCTAATAGCCTCCGCCGAGAGAGAGAACACCGAGAATGACACGCGGTTAAAAATCGATGGCACAATTCCTCTCTGTCCCTCTCACAAGCACTATCTCTCACTCTGGTGTCGGTGTAGTTGAAGGGAGCCTAGTCACAGACAGTAGATTGGGGATGCTTCGTATAATTAAACCTCAGAGCACACTGGGTAATAAAAAACTATGGGGTGGAAAGAGTCCAGTCCTGGCCTGCTCTTCCTTGATAATAGCACAGACAAAGCAGGAAACTATATAATACACAGCGCTGCGTGACCCGTTTGAATCACACCTCCCACCCATTTGATTCATTTTGTAATCAAGCGTGAGAAACACAGAGAAAAGGGAGAGATTTATAAACCAATACAGTGCCATCTTTGGTTCAACACGGGACTTATCTTAGCTCTGCCAGGCATAGTCATGAGCACTTAACCTTGCAGTGAACGCAACCCATCATCATCATCACCTCGCAAAAGGCTAGTTCTTCTTCATCCTGAGCTTCCCCCCTCTTTTTACCCGCGCCCTGCGCCCAATCCTTGAATGTCCTTCAACAGGAAGATGCTTATGCCTGTGACTAACCTATCCATATTGTCAAGTTTGTTGCAAAGCATTAAGAGAGGCCTTGGGAAAAAGCATCCCTCATGACAGGGGAAGTTGATTTTGTGCCACCAATCCCCTGTAGCGTTTCACACTCACACAGCATGGTGTTCAAACTGTGGGTTTTTGATGATTGTAGGCATTACATGTAGTCTTTGTTGCCATGTTTTAAGACATCTGCAGTTCAAATGTCTACACAAATGCCATGGTGATGTTTGGTCACCGTGGCCCCTGATGAGTGTTTGTTTGTTCCAGCATTTTGATGAGCAGACATTATGGAATCCAGCAGAGGCTGCCTAATTGACTCGCTTGAAAAATTAATGCATCACTTAACAGCATTTTTGTGTTCGTATGGTATTTGGAAAACACAGGTGCAAATCCCACATGGTGGCAACTGTTTAATTGATGCAGCCATATGACAATGCCAGGGACAGGAACATAAATAAACAAGAGGAAATTAAAAGTGTTTGCTTGGACTGCAAGTGATTTCTTTTTCTCAGCTGTTTTGTTTCATGTGCCATGTCATAGGGGGGACAATGTATATTTCAATGGCAAAGTGTCATAAGCAAAAATGACCAATTATCAAATATCAGGCGCCACGACACTGTTTGTGAAAGCTATTACTGAACGAGATCAAATATGCTTCGTGGCCTGCTTTCGCGTTCCATGCCAAAGTGGCTGGGTGATATTCTGGGGGGGAGCGAGCGTGACTGCCAGGCCGACTCTCCCCAGGTGAGTCCCAGCAATGAGCTGTGAACAAGCTGCTTTGGCCGGGCTTTTCCCCTCCCCTCACCCCCTGAAACCAGCCTTACACTTCCACACAGACCAGGGAGCAGGTGGCCATTAGCCGCAGGATTAGGCCGCAGTGCTATTCATCAAGAAAACCGACTAAATACGTTTTTCTTATGCTATGTCAAAGTCAAAGAGTCAGAAAGAAATTATTGTGGGTGAAAAATGTTAGATTGAAATTAAAATGTTATGTGGAAAATAGTACCAAAGTAACATTAAAATCTGTCTGTTACACATTATCTTGGTTTTCAAGGACGTCCAACACAGAAAATGAGAACCATTATTTAATGAGAGTTTAATTATTGCTAAAAGCATTCCATCCCTCTCTCTTGTCCCCGTATCTCTGCTTCCCCTTGACAACCCAAAACCCTCCCACTGCCCATGGGAAGAAGAAGACGGAGAAAAAAACGGAGGGAGCATTCAGATGGCCGAATTAATGTTTCCACACGATAAGAAAGCTTAATATAACGCTGACAATCACAGCACTCACCCTGCCAACCAGAATTGGATCGGGTCCAGAAAATTCCTCCAGCACAAACATTTGATTCCAAACCCATCCCCTCTTGGCGCGGCTCAGTAATCTTTGTCCTTCGCCAGGGCCGCTCACCACCGCTGCGGACCCACCAGTTTGTGTACTTTTCGACGGGCCTATGATCGGAGTCATAGACACGCAGGGAACGCAAGTAATCCACACTAGCAGCAAGGACATCCACAGATCCACCAGCATCTCTTCTGACCGCCGTGGCATCCTGTCTCCCGTGTGTTTTTGTTTGTTTGTCCGTCTATTTGTCTTACAAAGTCTCTCTTTGGCTCCTGTCGTCAGATCAACAGCTCCTTCTTAGATAATGAGAAAAGGTTACTTGTGTCCTCTTTGAACTGCAGAGCCTACATTCATGGTGCGATAAAGGTCACTTGCATGGCTTGGCATGCCTCCATAGCAGTTGGTGAGGGGGTGAAGAGCTCTGCGCAGCATCCATTTGGCGTTATTCCGAGGGGGAGACCTGTAAAAGGAAGCAGTTGTCCGTTAGTTGTCTTAAAGTGTTGTGAGGAGTTGTATGAAGAAGGTGGGGGGAGAAAAAAGGGAGGCAGGGATAAAGAGCGTGGAGGCCAATACACATTTGAACTAATCAGAGGAGACAAACGCAATGAGAAGGGAAGGGAAAACAGTTTCTGAGGCAAGGAAAATAAACGAAAAACGGGTTTTAGGAAGAAAATTCTCATTTTGGGACAAGAAGGCAAGATGTCACTTCATCATTGCGAACGATCTTGCCGCAGCATTCATGGCACTTTATCCCAATCGTGTTTCCATATAATGCTGCTACAATTGCACAACAAATGGGGATGTCTGTACTCCGAAGCTATTCAGCCCACAACATCAGATTGCGTTGCTTTAATCTGTTGTTCTGGGGATTATCCCAGAAAGATTTTGAGCAATTACATGTTCCCCTTTATGATGAATGTCTTCGCAATACATTTTCTGTGTAGAAATTATTGTCATCATTCTGCAATCAAATTCCTTAAACATCCTTTCACGCAAGATTTTTTTAAGCCTCAGATTGATGGGGTGGCAGCAGGTGAGCGCTACAATGTCAACAGCGCTGCAGGTATCATCCAGATGAGATACATGTGAAGGCATTCAGGGAAGGTGTTTCAACATTGATGTTTTATAACACTCAAACAACCTCTTTCCCTAATAGGCATGAAATGTAACTTTTAACACAAAAAGACTGAAATAAAATACAAAAATTAAATGCATCCGAGTGACTGATTAGAAATATATGTAAATTCTGCCCTTTAATCAAGAACTGTTTTAGCTTTAATATCCATTTTACAACCTCAGTGGCTTCACACTGATATGCATTGATCCCAAAATTGCAAAACCTAGAGGAAGAAAAAAAAAAAAACAAAGACACAAAGGTTTGTCTTTGAGCTGTCCTCAGACTCATCTGATGCAGGTGGACATGCTATCACAGGTTGTGAATTAACCGGGCTGTGATTCACAGCCCGGTTAATTCCGGTAACTTTTACCACACACTGCATGTCACTGTGCTCATATTGCGTGTGTGGCTCCAGGAGAGCAATTCCAAGGACAATAACGCATTCCACCTGAAACCAACTGCAATATCATGAAGTGAGGAGGGATCCTGTGACATTCTACAACTATAACCCGGAGACTGGGGCAGATTTAGTTAAATATATGCAAGGAAAAAAAGCGCAAACCATTTGAACATGAGAGTAAAAACCTGAACAAATACAGATATAAACATTTTTTATAATTGTACCAATTAGACATAAATAGCTTATGTAAAAATAAGATATTTCCTGTTATTTTAGAGCATTTTAAGTAATTTTGGATCGTGACTAAGCAGCCTGTTTCAGCACCACGGGGGTAGCACAACTCCCCGGCAGAAAACAGCCGGTCCAGACGGCTCAGCCGCACACCGAGCACCGGCAGCGGCGGAACTGTCCAAGGTAGTCCATACACATGCATGAGCTATTCGTTTTCCAATATAATGTCAAATAAAACCAATAAATAACCCACCAAGTTTCAACTTCATGCCTTTAACAGCCTCTAAAGTCTGCATCACGTACCCAAATTACCTTAATTCCCTGTCTCTCTGAAGTTTTACCATTTCAGGATACGTTGTTTCCAATGAGCCCGTGTCAGTGCATCAAATGTGGGACTCGAGCGCACAAGCAGTCCGGTTTACGGGAATAAAGCATACATAAGCAGCATTTAAGCGAGACCAATCACGACATAGGAGAGTGAAATGTGAATAAATAAAGCAGCCTAAGTTGCAGACCTTTTGGGAGACTTGCTGCGTGGCTGCGTGCCGGGGGAAAAAGCACTGAAACCCCGCTATGGAGAAAGAGAAGAAGTCCACCCACTAAACACCATCAGTAATACCTGTTAGGTTTACGGTGACTTACCAAAGAGACTTGCATCCGCTGCTGCTGCATCATTTCACGATGTTTCTCTCGTTACGCAAAAACTAAAAGTCCCAATTCGTTTCATTCAAAGGCGTTTGATGGGAAAGCGAGGGAAAAAACGGCAGAGGCAAGAGGCTAGATATCCTTCCCGCAGTTTGTCGACGCGCAGAGTGACAGACAGACAGTGTGGGGCTTGTAGTTAAGAGCTCCGACAGGCTTGCTGGCCGACTGGAAAAGTGAGGAGGGAGATGGAGGAGAGATGCACGGCGGCGAAGAGAGCCTCCCTTGCACGGCGCTCATTGGGTTGATGAGGAGCCGGGTCAACAGGCGCACAAATGAACGCATGCCGCTCTGCCCAGGCACTGACGCGCAAAGGTTATCGTCTCAAATTGCCGGGTGCACCGTAGCTGTAGGCAAGGTGTGTGCAGGTAAAAACCCTCTCATTACTGCATTTTCCCCCTCTCTATAATTGTATTTGAGATGACCCTCGCCTTTCTCGGTTATTAGTGGAAGCCAGGTAATTAGTAAAACGAAGCCGAAGCTCATTTACTCTGTCATTGGATAGCAGCAAACAGATGGACGTTGTGCCCAGTTGGCACAATAGAATGTAACTATCCTCTTGAAGGCAATTTATTGAATTCCCTGGCCCTTTAAAGTGATAGTTTATTTGTATTCTCGACACATGATGGAAAAACGTAAGCCCACATTATTGAAAGACAAGTAGCAGGGGAAGTGTTACACAGGTCTTATTAAAACCGTTTGTGAAAAGGTCATGGTTGCATAGCTGTGTTTGAGTGTGAGTGACAGCAGAAGGGGGCCCATGCTGCTGTCCACGGAGAGGGCCCTCTAGTGTTTGTCCGGATACTTGGCAGCCTTGGGGGGAGGGGGAGAGCAGCCTTCATTAGTGAAGCAGGAGAGGATGGTCAGTGTATTGTCTGACACAGGTTGATTTTTTCCCCTGGGCTATGACACTCGTTTGATGAAACAAACCACAGAGTATTAAACCTCGGAATGCTGATATCTCCCCATTCCCTCAACTCAACCTGAAGTGCGGCCATGCATATTCAGGGAGTCAAAGCACAACATGTTATTGTTCCCCCTTAACATAACAGCCTCTTAGGCTCACAGTGGAGGCCTTTTGACCCGAGTGCCATGAGATCCCAATTAGCAAAGACATCAAGTCTACCATTATTTATTTCTGTACCGTTTAATTTCCTTCCCACTCACACTTTGATGTTGCAGCTGCGTTTCAGTTGGGAATTCTCCAATCATCTTTTTTTAAAAGACTCTGCTGCATAATACATTAGGCTGTAAATGTTGAGCCATGTTTCTCTTCCTCGGAATGAATGAAGTTTTTTTCATTGACGGACACATATCGGACGTGTGTGTGGAGAGTTAAATGTATGAAAAAAGACAGCTCCGGGCGGCTGTTCATTTAAAAATCACAGTAAGTATACGTAAACAGGGCAGGAAACAACTTTTCAAATCCATCCTGTGTGGCATTTGTGTAGGAGGAATGAGTTGATTAAAAGTTGCAAATACGCTTCCTGTCTAACCTGCACATTTTCTTTAAATAGTTGCAACATTTTGAATACCAGACTACATTTGCCTGATGAAGGTCTAGTTAAGAAAAGTAAATTAATAGATAATCATATTTACTTAAAAATATGAGACATTAAAAGAAGACTTAAGTAAACCTAGAGGAAAACATCCAAGTATGAGTGAAGTCAGTGCCAGTGTGCATGTAACATTGTTTCTAATGGCCAGCAGGGGGAGCCTACATTGGTTTTAAAGATAAGTTGTATAGAAGTCTATGAGAGGATTCCCCTTCTTTCGCTTAATTTATTACCTTCGTAAAGATTGTTCCAAAACGTTTGTGATCTCAATCTCTAGTTTTCTTAAATTTTGCATTATTATGGTCACAATAAGAGATTGCTTTTAAAAAGAAGTCCAATTGCATAGAAGTCTATGAGAAAATCGCTGTACTTCTTACTTGATTTATTACCTTCATAAACATGTTTCCAATAAGAATATGGCCTCAATCCCTAGTTTATAGTCTTCTTGGATAAAGCACAATGTATTTTTTTGGAAATGATGGTCTGAATTAGAGTAAAATACAAGCAGGATTGCTTGAGGGTGCATCTACCTTGTTATTAATTTGCAACCACACAGCGCTTCACATTCTGGGTGCTTTCCATGTTTCCGCTAACAACTTTACCTCATTCACAGTGTCACTTCAGGTTTAAAACAAGGTGGGGACGGACATAATTCTAAACTCAAGGCTTCAAAACTCAAGTCCACAAGCCAATAAGTGACGTAACAGTGACTCCATCTTCTTTCTTAACACATACAACATGCTGGACCTCTTGGGGTGGTGTAATTACTTTGATGTATTTCACACACACACACACACACACACACACACACACACACACACACACACACACACACACACACACACACACACACACACACACACACACACACACACACACACAGACAGACAGACAGACAGACACACACACACACACACACACACACACACACACACACACACACACAGACAGACAGACAGACAGACAGACAGACAGACAGACAGACAGACAGACAGACAGACAGACAGACAGACAGACAGACAGACAGACAGACAGTGCCTAACACACCGTAAAAGTGCCAAAGCACAGCCCTAATTCATGCCAAATACAAGTCTACATAAACCAAATGACTGTCATTCATGGCACGTTCTCTGAAAAGTAAGGTAATTGCACCGCTAACATCAGGTCAATCTGAAACCCACTCATCATTCAAAATCTCGTTCTGTGAGTGGAGTTCTGTGAAAATGAGAAGGCTCTTTAGCTTTAACTTAGTGATTAATTCCACCTACATGGCCCCTGCCAGTGATCAAAATATCAGAAGGGTTTAAAAAAAAAAAGGCAAGCAAGTGAAGGGGAAATGGTCTTTAGAATCCAAGCATCCTCAATCGATCATTAGTTACTGCTTTGTCAGTGGTATTAATCACAGAGCTGTTGCAGTGTGTGCTTCTGACTTCAACATCTGAAACTCTCGAAACTCACCACAGCGGGATTGTACTATTTGGTCATGGTTTTGCATGACTTGGATTCTCTAGTATGTTATTTGTTCTCTGGTCAATCACTTCAAGCACACAACTTTCTCACACCAGGGTATTCTCAGTTGAGCCTGTTAAAGCAGGGGTAAGTGTCATCAAGGACACATTTCTGCAAATAACCCCCACCACCAGCATCCCTGCATACTCATTTGACTGACTTAACACCTATCAATCATGTTGATGAGTCTTCATAGAAACAGTGTCCAGCCTGAGGTTGAGTACCCAGGAATGGCAAACTATGCTTTCAGCCTGATGCTCCTTCTTCTTTACTTTATGCTCCTTCTTCTTTACTTTATGCTCCTTCTTCTTTACTTTATGCTCTTTCTTCTTTACTTCATGCTCTTTCTTCTTTACTTTTTCTTTATTGTAATCGTCACTGGTAGGCCCCCTCTCACCCCCTGCCGTGTCACCCCAACCCTCAACAGCTGCAGCTGGCCAAGCTCATCCATAGAAAATCCTGCAAAAATATTTTCCTCTTTGGAAAGGTGCCTTCAAGGGAAAACTGTCATAACGAGAAGAACAACTTGATTTTTAAGTTTGCATGATCTGTGACACCTTGTCGTCATGGAAATAAGGACTCATCGCAAAAAACCAAGAGGCCAATTCTGGTTCCAAAAAAATGCATCTTGCAAGTTTCAATTTTAAGGATAACTTTGATGTATTGACAGTAATGGAATATAATATTAACTTTTTTCACTAATGTACAATTACCTAAAAATAGAATTGTGTGTTTTGTGTATTCATTAGACTAGAATGAACAAATGTAAGTGGTTTCTCTCCTACGGAATACGCCATGTTGTGCCCCCATTTAGTATCCCAGAGTGGACAAACCAAACTCTAGCTATGGGCTTTTAACAGTTTAACAAAACATGGGGGACGCTGTTGATTCCCTGAAACATTGAAAAGGCGAGGGGTTTGGGGAGGGGTTCTTAGTCTGTTGCAATCTGCAACCTCACCACGATATATCACTAAATCATACTCCCTAGACTTTTAAAATAGTTTGATATGTCCTGTTAACAACATTCCAAAATGTTGTCTTTACGCAGCAGATCACACAAATCCTACATTGTTATGTCTATCTTGCACTTTTAGACCAAGAAGTTTACCAAGTATTAGGGTAAGGCTCTACAAGCCTAAGCATGCAGGGAGTTGAGAGTTTCAGCTCCACAGTGTTTCCATATAACCCTGGAGTAGGGCTGTCCCGAATACCATTTTCCAGGCTCCGGATATTCGGTAGTAATCAGCAGCGAATATTCGGCCCGCTTCAACATGTGTATTTCGGTTTAATCGGGGCATTGATTTTGTTATTCTACAGTATTGTTGTTTTATAGTTATTTGTTAATGTATACAACCCAATTTGTGTTCTTTGAAATTTAAAAGGATATTGCATTGTGTTTGTGTTTCGTTGCAGTTGTATAGGCTTCCTATTTTGTATGGACATGCTTTTATTTTGAAGGAGAGTTAGCGCTTTTGACAGGAAGTTGTTGTTGCTATGGAAACAACGTGACGGAGATTAACGGAGAAAAAGTAATATCTACATATAGATATAATATAAAGACGGAGAAAGTAAACAATAACGTTTATGGTTCAGTGTTAGCACCCCCAAAGAGACACAAACTCTTACGTTGATATTGGAGTTTTCAATACATTCATTTTGGCAGCCGCAGCGCAAACCGAATATCCGAATAACGAAATTGAAACCCGAATAGTAGTCCAACGAACAAACGAATATTCGGATATCCGGGTACAGCCCTACCCTGGAGCTGGTTTATTTGCACTGGCTTCATGTGAAATTTAGATGGCAGTAAAAATCCTATTAATTGTTTTCAAGGCGACCAATTTAGCTCCACAGGAAATCAGTTGTTCTCAAAATGTTTGGGTAGTTAAAATGTTTAGGTTACTGGCAGTTATTACATTAAAAATAGTTATTACTACATCTTGGCTTCTACACAAGGGAACCCTAACCCTAACCACAACCTTTCCTTAACCCAGTGGTTCTCAAACTTTTTCTGTCAGGCCCCCCCTTTGGAGAAAAAGTCGGGCCCCCCCAACACAATTAGTCAGGCTCAGTGGCGGCGCCAGAGATTTCTTTTGGGGGTGCTGTGTGGTAGCTTGACGTTTCATAGAGGGTGCTGAAACATTTAGGGTTTCCCATTAATGTACCGGTCGCTACAGTGGAGTTTTCTACTGCAACATTCCCCACGCATATATACAATGTACCCGCGACTGTTACAATGAAGGCTCGATAATCAGCTCACGGCATATTACCGTAGAGGTAAAGTGCTATTTTTATAGGTGGTGTGTGGACCTTACATAGGGGGGTCCGGGGGCAAGCTCCCCCGGGAAGATTTATTTTTAAATATTGAAGTTAAACGCATCAATCTGGTGCACTTTGAGAGCAAAATGAAGAGATCTATGGATACCTCTCTCAACACCCAACAGATTTACTTTTTCTTTATGGATATTTTACAAATCACTCCCTTTTAAACTTTATTCTTTTTTTACTGTCATATAGTACATTTTCATACCTGTTTTTCATTTATTCTCTTATTTTTTTATAACTATAATGATCATATAAACGTGTACCTCCGAAATAATTGTTTACATTAATGGTGACCAAAACGTTTGAGGCCCACTGAGATAACACTCAGAGAGTCCTTTAGCTCACTGAGTCTCTCAGTCTGACAGGAGAGGACTCTCCTCCACCTTGTTGTTGAAAAAACTCGTTATATCCGTTAGCATAGCTCGCTAGCACCAGAAGCTAACAACAACGATCTCCGGTACCGGTGCGCTCTCTCTCTCTCGCTCACGCACGCACACAAAATGGCTCGTTCCACACACACACACACACAGAGCCGAGCTTTAATGAAACACAGAGACCCATACGTAATAGTACTGTATAATATTATTTTCGAATCAATCATTTTTTAGAATATGATATATATATATATTTTTTAATAACCATTTTTCCTCCTGGTCTCTCGCCTCTGCGACAGGCATGCCCTGTCATGCCTCTGCACGCCCCCCACTTTGAGAACCACTGCCTTAACCTAATGAAAAAGTGGCCTCAACTTAACCGAAACACGCTCATATTAATCTTTTTAAATACACATTTTGTTGCTCACGTTGTAAAACGTTTTGTTTCAGTTAACGATGTATAAACACCCAAGGTCGGACACATTCAGACTGAAGCTGTTTTATATGTCAAACTCATCTGGTAAGATTGTATTATCGAGAAAAACAATCAACATTGCAGCTTTAATTGAAGGTAGACCATTGAGAATAATGGTCATTCACATCATGCTACCAGGATTTCCCAGGTGACCAAGAGATTGAATCTCCTGAAGATTCTGGGCTGCTGCCAAAACCATTAGGGCAAAAGAAAGGTTACAATGACGTTACAATGCCATTCATGAATTAGAGTACTGTGAGAGATGGGGGCAGGGGGAATGGCTCTGTGTCTGAATTGACAAAAAGTGTCTTCATTTTCCTCCTCTTCACCTTGTCCCCCAGTCTCGGTCAATAAAACATTAATATAGAATATCAGTAAAAGTGCTGTACTCAAAGTCGTGTGGCTGGTGGACATAAAAGGCTTTGGAAATACTCATTGTTCTTCATTGTCAAGTGTCGCCCTCTCCATTTGACAGTATAATATTAACAGCACAATTGAGTACCCTGGCTGGTTCCTTCCATTTGGCTCTCTTCAAAACCTCTGCGGCAGGTTTTTAAAAATCCTTTTTTTTTTTTTAATATGCAAATCACTCCTCCTGACCTTATTTGAATCACGAAACATGGAAAATAATCAAACTTATATTTGAGTGGAGTGCAAGGAGAATGTTAAAATATCCCTCCTGCTTAAACACTTTGAGTGTTTTGTTCAGAAAATGTGCAACCAATCCCCCCCAACGCTTGACGTCACTGACACATTGTGGGTGTGTTTGAGCGAGCCCGAAGTATAAGTACAGCATGTGGCACATTAGCATTCCTAAAAGTCACACTTTAATTGGTTGCAGATTAAAGTTAATTGATTTAGCTGATAGTTTTAAAGCTCCTGAAGATAATTAAGTGCAGTGTTGAGAATTCTGACATGTTGATATTTTGAGAGTGAACAACCTGCGACGCGTGGGTACAACATAACGTTAACTAACATCTTAATCATGCAAATTAAAAAACACAGCGGATTTAATTATCATCGGTCGAATCGCTGGTCCTCATTAATTACATTGGGCTTATTTATTCACTTTCACATATCTATTCCACTTACTTCCCAATTATGCAGGACAGTCCTCGGTCCCCCGCTGATAGAACAAACAGGGACTCTATTCCTGCTTCATTAGGGGACGCATGTAATAAGACGCTAAGGGGATGGAGCGACAAATGAGTATCCAAGGTTGAAGAGCAGCAGCAACAAGCACAGCATCAGGAATGATTATGAGGCTTGCTTACTATATTTATTTATATATATATTGAGTCTATTGCGTTCTTATTGGAATGTCCAAATAGAGGCCTAATTTACTCCATAATAATAATAAACTTTTCTCATAGAGAAGTTTTCTGAAGAAAGGTCTTTCCGAACGAAAGAACAGCAAATGAAAATCATAAACTCCAATACAACAACAATATAATAAAACACAAACAGAGGGATCAGAAAAACATAAAAATACAGGAGAAGAGAATAAAGTGGAGAATATATAAAATGGCCAGGGAGAGACAATAAAACCCAGCAACATATTAAATATTCATGAACGCTTCGCTATAAAAGGAGGTTTATAGAACTCTTGTGAATTAACTCACATGACACACAGCCCACCAACACATTTTAAAAAACAAGTTTATATGCTGTTCTAAAATTGTTAGCTGACACTGAAATGACTTCAATTCATTAGCAGATGTTGCATTTAGCTATTGTAAGTATTAATTAACTGATCTAATTCATGAGTAACATTAACATGTATTTTTTCAGGTGAGAACAGGGAAACAGCTGAGCATGTGTTTGCGGGTCAGCGTTGAATTAGAATTTCACTTTGAGCATGGCTGAACGATTTATTATATCATATCCTTAGGACAAATCCATAACATTCTAATTTATTCAAACAATGTAAAAAATGTAGGTATTAAATCCCTACATTTCTTATTTACAGTGAATAGTTTTTTTTTCCAATAGGGTGCAAGACATAATTTTGGGAAGAATACTGTATGACCCCATACCCCACCCCACCACAATACTATTGGGTCAACACAATGTTGTAACAACTGTTTATGGTTGTAACATTGCATTAAATAAAACCCTGTCTGCAACAAAATTATGTTATCATATAACTGGACAGAATTATCATTTTACTTTCGATGTAAACATATTTTTTCCAGTATTAGGTTCTTCGTTTTTGACAAAAATGGTAAATGTAATATATTAAAGAAAAAACTCCCTGGCTTTGTTTAGGCAACCACGGTGCCTGGCTAGTTTAAGCTCATGATTCTGCTTGAAATAAGTATATTCTTTTACACTATTTAAGTTCCGGACCTAAATTAAAAACTAAAAAGTATGCATTGACTTTTGCTTTAACGGGACACGAAAAGCTAGCAATAGTCTCATGTTTGTTTTGAAAAACCAATCCGCACTGAACTTTTGCACTTTGTTGATTTCTGCTGACCAACATTTAAAATAGTTATGTGGGATATCAAAAAACAGATAATGCTGTTTCTGGGAACCTATTTTCAGGAGAAGGCTGGTAAATGACATATGCAGTGCATACAAAGCACAGAAACCATTAGTTTGGATAGTGTTGGGAATTTCTTAGCCTTTCCTATCCAATAGCCATTGAGATTGATGGACCAACAAAGCAACATTGCCGTCCCAAAGACACTAGCATGTCTTCGAAAGTCAATGTGACTAATGCACAGGATGTGTTGCACTTGTTTTAAGAGCCTCTGTTTGAAAGTGACTGTGCACTAGTGAGAGCTTCTTTGGTGGAGCGGTTGAAGAGGTGATGCACTTGTGAGACCACAGTGATCATAACCTACAAAGTACTGTCAAGACTCCAAGATAGTGAACTACAGTTTAGCGCACAGTTAAAGTTTGCAATATTCATATTTGTTTCAGATATGACATCCACACAGTGTGATTGCTCTGTCTCTTAAGTATGTCTATTCAAGCCACAAATAACCAACTCAAGTTCTAGGAGTTGTCCATACTGCATTTGATCGACGAAAGTGACCAATTTGTATTTATTGATATGGTTGATGCGATTAAGTATCTCTAAACATTGATTTTGTAGACAGTTCTGTATTGTAACTTGAGATAAAGTCACCTAAGGACTTCACATGACCCGGCTCTTTCTATTAACATCAGTCTGTCCCTCCACAAGCCTCATTACAGTTGTGACGTTTACAAGCGTTGGGATACAATACTGAATGTGGCTCAAAAGAGGTAATTTGACATTAATCGGATGTAATGTGAGAGGGAGGTTATAGATGAAGACAAGTGCTAGCAGAGGAGTCCTATGATGAGATGAGGACGGAGATCAATAGACATTGATGGTTGTAATGAATAGACAGAGTGCTGTGGTAATGACACTTTACCTTTAATAGTGCTCATTAAGAAGACTAGCCACTTGGTTGACGAGGATGAAAGATGAGCTCTGTCGTCAGGCCATAGACGGAGGAAGAGTCTTATGAATGTCTTTGGTGATAAGAGGTACAAAATACATACATGGAAGACGCAAGGTTCTTATAGTCATGGTCATCCAGGAGCCAGTCGAGTACAATTTGATTGATGGGCAGAATGAGAGACACTGAAAGAATGGAGGGAACATTTGTAAAACAAAAACAATTGTGCTAGAAATGTGAAGTTCTGCCTCAAAGCATAATTAGTCTTACATTGTTAATTTAATAATTGTCCATTTACATATTCTGATGGAAAAAGCACAACATTGCGTTTTTATATCAATCACAAACCCTGTTTTCTCGCATGCCTTCACGGTAAGCAAATCATTAACAAAACATGTTATTTGGAAGTTAATGGGGGTTAAGTTAATATTCAACAACAACACAACTTTAACTAAACATCTGTTTTCAAATATAGAAATCTTTGTTTTTATTTGGAAGTGTTTTAAATTGTAGAGAAAACATTGTTTTTTGGAAGATAGTGAGCATACGAGTGGATAAATAACAGTTAACTGTGAAGTTATGCAAGTTTTCTTCGATAAGGAATTCATATACAACATTTTGTGAGTGAAGCGTTCATTCAACATTAAGCCAGAGTTGCAAAGAAGTGTAAAGAATGAAAATTAATATTCACTGGGTGAAATATTAAATAAAGAAAAAAACGAGGAAGATATGATTACAATAAATAGAAAATTGGAACAGTTATGTTATAAGAGTACGTAATGAGTATGCATAAAGTATAGATGTAGGTACAATTATTTCTAACAGTATGTTACAGTATGTTACAGACTGCAGAGCTGGAGGTATGATTTAAATACAGTCTTAACACTATTTAGATCTGATATGCACAGTGAAGTCAGTGGTATAAATGTTAGTATATATACAGCATGGACGGTTGTGTACATGTAGTATTTTTGCAGGGGTATGTAAGTGTGAGCTAGCAACCAATATCAATATTTCCCAATAGCCATAAACAACAAGGAAAAGTACTCTCCAAACCAGAACTTACTGGTATGTATTTTTGGTTATTTACAAATGGGTATAGGACAACCCGACTAAAAGCTGTAGACATTACAAACTAACCCCCTGACCTCTATGTGAGTTCACATTTCTACTACTATCAATAAAGGTGCTTGTCACACAACTCAACATTTTAATTCGGACAAGATTACAAGTTGATATTTCCCCTTGTAAGTGTTGTTTTATGCAACACATGTACATTAACAGCTGAATTGATTTTTACACAAAACACCAGATGTCAAGATTTTTAGGGTCAGGGTTAGCCTTGTTTTATCTTCTCAATTCTTAGTATGACCTGAAAGTAAGTATGTAGTGAGTTCCAACTGCATTGTATGTGGATTATGATAAATGTGAAATAACTGGAGGTTTACTAGAGAAGCAAGAATTTCTGAGTATGAGTTGTGAGTTGACATACTCCAACGCCCATAAATACTACTCGTCACTGCTGTTTTCGGCAATACAGCTCTAAAAAACCCACTGTACACGAGCTGCTCTACACCAGACAGCAACAAGACAAAGTCAGCAACTAGC